CGATTAAGAATTTGTTCAACCGGTTATCCGAAATTTATTCGGGTCGGGTCGGTTAACCGATTATAGCCCAACCGGTTATCCGAAATTTATTCGGGTCGGGTCGGTTAACCGATTATAGCCCAACCGGTTCAAATCACTAGTCCATTGGCATAAACTATTGATTTACCTACGACATAATTACAAACGTAATGAAGGTAACGCAGTAATAATCACTAACAAAGATTTTTATAAATTAGTGAACCATTGAATGAACACAAACAAAATTAAAATTTTATTACCGTTACGTAGATTTTTTGTTAATGCGCTCTTATGTAATAAATATATATAACAATCAAATTAAATAATTTTTAAGAAAAATAAAAATAAAAAATGGCTTTATGTTAAAGAACATATTAAGAGAAATGTAATAAATACAGTTTTATTTGTGTAAATTACTGGTTCAGGGGGGATATTGATGCACAAATATACCGAAACAAAATTAATTAAAATCGGTTAATCGAATAAATCGTCTAAGGTTCAGTGCACGAGAAAAAAAAATAGACATGCCCCTAGGGGTATACTTTTTGATGGGGTATCTCATATTGGTCTAATTACAAACATAATGCGTACTATATAGCCATTGTATTGATAATTATTAACTTTACGTAGCAAATTGGTGATTGTAGATATCTGATATAGTAAAATTTAAATTACTAAATCAAACGAAAAATGTAGCTTCGATTTTGCTTAGGTTTGTTCATTTTCAATATAGAAAATTTAGGCATAATAAAATCATCGGTTAAGAAACTACACATCATACTACACAAGAGACTTTATCAGTATACAAAAATCTGGTTACAGCCAGAATTTTTTTGATGTCTCGCTTCAACATATTTGATCTGAACTTTGATTAACTGCTACATGCAAGACCCCTAAAGCAGCCCACTTTGTACTATATTCAAGTGTGAACCACTGAATTTATATTAATCAATTAAGGTTTTTTCTTTCAAAGATCTAACTGTTATAAATGAAAAAAATATGTTTTTTAAACATTTCCTTTTAATATATAAATTCAACCATATATATGTAAATAGGGACATTTAAAGGGACACATGCATGGCGCGAAATGAGAAGGAATGAATGAGAAGGAATGTAATCATTTTAATTACTTAAATTTTATGCGAAATACATAAAATTTACGATTTTAATTCAACGTTTAAATGTGTAAAATAATCTGAGTCCATGATCTATTTTGTTTAACATATACTTCGAAATTTAGAAATCGACTATATATGGTGTTTTATATGAAGTTTTATTTTGATTTTTTAAGACTTTTTGTGATGTTTACCATGCGCCTAAAAGGAACGTTCGCAAGAACTCTTCATTATGCAATGTTTGTATTGGTTATGCATCGCATTGCGTTTCCTTTGGACGAAGAATATACAGTAATAATGTATTTACTAACTACTGAACTATACATTATTCAATCACAATGACACTGAAAAAAGCTAAGATTTATATTAAAATAAAGTTGGAAAAGCTTTAAATTACGCAAGTAATGTTTGTAACGAATTAAATAACGATTAAAAAAAACTTTAAATTTAGGCAAGTGTTACAGCAAGTACCATTGTAACTCAAGTTTCCCGAAAGTCATTTCCCGCTGGCGTTAGCTATAATACTGGCTGATTTAATCGGATTGTCTTTTCTGGCATACATTAACCTACTATAGTAACGGTAAATTAGCATTTGGACATGTACTTACGCCTTTCGTTCAGACTATGTTATAATCACATAGATTTAGTAATAACGATAAGAAATTAAGCAGTAAAATCCATTAACGTTAATTGTTACATGGCTTGGGTCGTCCAAACCAGTTTGGATGGTACCTACCACTACGTATACTTGCGCCCGTATAAGTTAGGAAATATCATAAAAAATGATTTAGCATAATAATAATCATAATCATAACCAAATGCGAGGTAATTTAAGTAGATCAAATTCTCTAATGTTAACGCTAAGCACAGGTTGTTCTTTGAATAAAGGTTTTTGTTTGTTCCTTTTTTTTTTTTTTTTTTTTTTTTTACTATATATACTGCTCATCCAAATGCACTTAACGTTAGAGTCTACTTACCATACCTAACATTAAATATTATCAATAGAAAGCTTGGGTATCTTTTTCATTGGCGTTATCCAAATAAATAAATAGAAAACAGTTACTCTAATTTTTTTAATGTTACTTTTTATAAACATGAATACATATACAATTTTGTACTGATCTTTAAAGATTAATACGCACCTAATTATAGGATTTATTGGCTAATTATAAAGTTCAGCCAATTATAGTGATAATTTTTTTGGAAGGAAACACCTTTCACGAGCGATACGCAAACTAATGAATTTATTAGTCTATTTGTTATTTGTACTGATATTCCAAAAATTTTCTTAACATTATCCACCGATTCACGTTACACCTGATCTTGTGATATCACTCGAAATTTAATTTAGGCCTGTATCACTTGCAGAAATAAGTATACACAGAATTCACTTCCCTAATTTAAATTGTACACATATTGTCGAGAATATTATTCCCTTCAAATTATAAAAAGAGAAGAATTTCATAATTTATCCACAAGAAAAAACTTTTCTTTTTTTTTTGATATAATGAGTAGCAAGTTTTTTAGTCATGATTGTCCCGCTGAAAATAAAAATGAAACAGATCCAACATTCTTTTGGGATGGTGGATTACATTGGGACGGTAATTAAAATTTAACAATTATTATCAGTTATTGTTAGATGAAAACTCTTCTTTTTTCTCACATTTTGAAATCAGCCCACAGAATAGGATGGACTATCTCGGGTGTATTTGCATTGGTCGCAACATTGGTTTCATTATATTTGATTATAAAACATTTACAATTTTATCATAAGGTTCGTTATGTCTTGTTTAATTTCAATATTTTATCAATTTCATATTCGAATCTATTCTTAACACTTATTTATGTTATAGTCAAACCATCAACGATACATCATTCGCATTATTTTCATGGTTCCGATATATGCTATCATCTCTTGGTTATCTTACAGATACTTTCGCTATAGTACTTATTATGAAACAGTTCGAGATTGTTATGAGGCATTTGTTATTGCCGCTTTTTTTACTTTGCTCACTCAATACGTTGGTGATTCGCCAGAGGAACAAAAAAAAAAATTACGAGGTCGTAAAAAAGAAAAGCTTCCAATACCCTGTTGTTGCATTACTTATAGTCCAACTGGTCACACATTTCTTTCCGTTACAAAGTGGTGTATATTACAATATGTTGTAATGAAGCCTATAATTACGTTTATTTCACTTATTACCGAAGCTTTTGGTGTTTTTTGCTCGGAAAGTTTGAGTTTTGCTTTTGCCAGAGTTTACATGAAAATCCTTACCTTCGTTTGTGTAACAGTTGCCATGTACGCCTTGGTATGTTAAGATTAACTTTGCGTGCTTTTTGTCAAAATTTACAATTTACGTGTGACTTAAGTTTAACCTTTTATCATTATAGGTTGTACTTTACTTAACTATTAAAGACGACATTGCAAGTGAAAGACCATTTTTAAAATTCCTTTGTATAAAACTAGTCATTTTCTTTGCATTTTGGCAATCCGTAGTTCTTTCTATTGTTGCTGAATTAGGTAATTGTTTATATTCTTTCATTAAACAACTAAGAAATATTAATATCCTTCTCATATTTTCAATTTAATCTTTAATATTTAATTAGGTTATATCAAAGAGACAGAATATTGGTATTTACATTTTTCTTGGTCTCATAATTAAAATTTTTTTGATTTCTAAAAAATAAATTAAACTTTTTTCACCTTTAATAATAGGACAAGTGCAAATGTCAGTAGAGGTTTAGCTGCCATGTTGGTCTGTATTGAAATGGCTGTCTTTTCATTTTTACACATATTCGCATTTCCTTATCAACCCTATAAAGAATTGGGAAATCACGAAAAAGTTTCGTTAATAAAAGGATTAAAAGATGCTTTTAATCCAATCGATATTTTGTGGGAATTTAAATATGTTTGGAAAGTTTTGACTAGAAGAAAAAATGGTACTGATTCTAAGGACTTTGTGAGCACTGTTGCAGGCGATAAAGAAGAAAAGAACAAAAATGAACATGTATAATAGTACTTGGGCTTTCTAAGATGGCAACAGTCGTCTCCCGCAATTAGTCACATGGTCAGTCAGGCATTTTATGTGGATTGTGACTGATAACAGGTGAAATAATATATAAATAAACTAGAAAGTTAACGTGACTATAGACAGTTGCGGTGTGATTCTAGCGACTATTAATTTCGATGTATATATATTCAATTTACATAAATAGAATTTTTACGCTCGAATTCTCCCATTCTTGGCTAATTTATTTAGATAATATAATATAATTACTCATTCATTAATTGCTCTTTTGATACACTATGTTATAGTAATTTCATTGTTTCTAATAAATAACATAATTAAAGGTTTTAATCTAATCTATAGGAAGTAATTCATATGACTGTCATTAAATTTTTCTCTCATGTGATGAGATACCTCGCAAATTATACGTACGACAAATTATACATATGCAATTTAACTTAAATTATGCTACGTACGTATATTGGAATTATCAATAAGGTTAACATATTTAACTTAATTGTTTCAGAAGGAAGTGCATGTGGGTTATTACTAAAATATTTTTATATGTATTGAGTTATTCGGTTCAACTATATAAATTTAGTAATTAGGATAGTGATCAAATTATTTATTTATACTTTAATATATAGTAAAAAATATTATGTATGTTTTTGGTATCTAGGGCGAATCTCTATTTTTTCCAGTTATTTTAATATAAATCTATTCTTAAGCATGTACCGTTACTGTATATTAATTTAAGTTTTGAGTTGATTTTTTACAAGTTTGCTTTATGTTATAAACTATTTTTGTTGCAGGTTAAAATTTTAGAAAATTTGCTAGTTTATTCATAGTGTTTATATACAGGCATTAATTTATTAATTTAAATTTCATATCGATATAGTATATAAATTATAAGACAAAAAATTAACCCAGTTTTGGGTTATACTAAAATTTTGCAAGAAATATTTTTTTGTTAAAATTCTAGAAGTTTGTTTTATAGTCAAGATTTTGAGCTATCAGCATATCCGTGTACATACACGTAGTGTATAAATAGAAATTGCCAAAATTATATTTAGTAATAATAGTATGAAATAATTTTTTAAAATCTATTATTAGTATTAAGTTAGTAATTTTAATAATTTATTATAAATTTATTTTATTATTAACACATTTAAATATTTAATAAATTAGATAAGGCTATACAAACTTAATAAATCAGTTCGCATAATGACTCAGCAACCCGGGTTTTAATTTTATTTTCAAAAACTTATATATATAAAAAACTCAACATAGTAAATAAACAAAAAATTTCAACCTGACCGGGTTATAAGAACCGATTTATTAAGTTTGTATGACCTAACGCTAATAATAAATTTTAGATTTTATAAAATATGGCTAATATTAGCATTTCATTGAATAATAATTAGTAGATATTTTTGTTATATCTAATACTAATATTTGTTTTAGATATTAATTTAGGTTAGAGTTAGAATAAAAGTTTAGATATAAACCAATATTGATTAATATCTGTTTATAAAATTAAAATATAGTAATAAAATTCTAAAAAAAGTACTTATACGTAGTAAGTCATCTTAAGAGGACATATCCGTTAAAAAAACTTTATATGCTAAAAAAATTTTTTTAAAATAATATGTGAACGGATTCGATATTTTTACCGGGCATGAAAGGTGATTTATCGTTTCACAAAATTGTAACAATTTTACATAGCGATAGTCTAAAAAAAAGCTAAAATAAAATTAGGGTCCATAGCTGCGCAATGTAGTATGGTCATTATGATTCGTATTAAATTATCTATTTCAAAGTATTGGTATTGTTCATATTGTCGTTTAATTAAACTTTAAATATGAAATACGCGTTATTTATAAGAGATCCTTTAAGTAGTGATGGGAAGCCTAGATAGAGGTAAACAATCTGTGAGTTTCTCACATAAGATACCGGATATAAAGTGTTAGGAACTTTTGCAATATAGGACGACTCCTTTAATAAAATATTAATTGATTATAAGGTTGGATCACCTATTCCTAGGAACGGGTCATGACCTATATAATAAAATATATTATAACATGCCAATTCTGGGTCATTCAAGTTGACCCGTTCGAAGTACTAAATGCAACGGTGGAAAATGAACTTTGGAATGAATATAATTACATTTGAAACTGATGAGTTGATTGATTTATGTGTAGGCGCTTGAACTCGTTAAAAGCCTACAATATTCTTACAACAAAAGAAATAGCCTAAAAAAACTATTGAATCAAATTTTATACTAGGTCAAAAATTGGAAACTGTTACAGAGTGGTCTTAACATATCATGATAATATGAACTAAGGGAAATAGAGTAACGGAAGCGTTACGATGGTTACTTTGGTCTTGTAATAAGTTTGTTATGCTGATCCTTACGTGCTCTTTCCCCGCACATAAAGGTCGTAACCAACCGCTCTCGATATTATGTTCTTTAAATAACTTTTTGGAAGTATTATTAAAAGAGGCTTTGACTATCCCTTCTTAACGCTTTCTCTTTAGGCTTCACTTAGAATTCTAACACACTGTTACGCGTAACCTTCATTGAGAATGTTTTAGCTTCGCGTCTATTTACTCTACCAATATTATCAATTCGGCCGACAAGCTTCATGTGTCATAACCGAAGATTCAAGCCTTGACATTTGTGGTGTCTTAATTATTTACTCATGGGATTTGTGACTTTATTTTCGGAAATGCTTACTTTTTGCTCGTAACAATACAATATAAAGACTTAAAGAAAAATGAAACATATTACAAAAGCATGGATAAGTGAAATACGAGTTTATACAATTAATATATTCAATTGGGTATTACCAAAACTGGCCAAGTTTATTAGTTGTACCTTCTGAAGATAATCAATTTAAAAACCTTTATAGTAAATTTCATTAAGAAATAATAAGATTTCGGGGTAAATTTCGGCGCGAAACTCGACTGGCATAAAAAATTTTAGGCACATTATCCGAAATTATTACGCGGATCATAATGAAGTCTGTTTAACCTCTTATACTTGTTTACTATCAATTCTACCCTTAAAGCTAACCCTACCTTAAAAAAAAGAGCACCCCAGATTTTGTATTTTTATATGATTTGTCTATTTTACACTATCGCTATTAGTGCTCCGATCGGGTGACCCGAATGACCCGAAACCAACCCGGTCATAATAAATTTATTAGATGGGTCATGACCCATATGGTAAATTCATTATAACCGGGTTGGTTTCGGGTCAACCCGATAGGAGCACTAATCGCTATACAAAATTTCATTTCATTTTAATCTACCACAATAAACACAAAATTTATGATCACAATAAACTTGATTATTTCAAATTTATACTTTTTGGACTCTTTCTACTTACATTTACGCGATTATATCGTAATTTATCTAATAATTATAACGACTGAGTTTAATTAGTGTTTTATTGATGATTTTGGCAGTTATGCTAAGTGTAACGATTATATATAAATTGGTTTCTTTTTTGAAGTAAATCGAGCGTAGTCTAATTCAAGTTACATATGAGTCATCTTCTAGGAAAATCACTTTTTGGCACTTGATTTCAAATAGCGATTTTCCTGGTAGACGACTTATATGAGTGCTAATAACATACATTTCATTGTCATTTATTGGGGTCGAGTATATATGCTTTTGATTACGCATTACCCAATATCTTGCTGATTAGCATTTATGCGGTACTCGTATGGAGATAGATCTATACAAAAAAAGATTAGAATGAAATTACTCGGCGATTCAACTTTGTTTTTGTCACATGATATGCGTGGAGGATTTCTATTGGTTAATATATTAAAAAAGAACAAATTTGCTGCTGATCCGGCCTGGATATGAAAATCGATTATATGAGTTTGTATGGCCTTATCACTGGTCGAAATAAAGTAAATATCAACCAACTGAAAACTATATCAACTTAACAATGTTTCATCTGTTGATATGTACTCGATAATGACACGAATGACGCCATTAACCGAAGAATATCAGGACTAAGAAAACTATGATGTTTATCCGATTGGCTTTATCTCAGCCAGTGTATAATATACTTAAGAAGAAATTGTAGCTTAGCTTTTTAAAATATAATTTGGCTAAAAAAAAATCAAACACATTTTTTTCCTAAGTTATATCAAGTTTTGTAAGATATATATAAGAAAGATGTTGGTTATATGGTTCACATTGTATAAAAATTAACTATGTATTTTATTATTACATATACAGTCAGACCTTGATATAATCACCAGGTCGGGAAACAAAAAATCGGTGATTATAAAAAGTTGTGACTATATGAAGGTCAAAATTTATATGTTTTATATAAGCTAGGAACAAAAAACAGGGTGACTATATCAAGGTTGTGACTATATCAAGAGTGACTATAACGAAGTCTGACTGTATATTATATAATATTAAATGTCTGATCTATAGTCAAAAATAAAATACCTATGTAAAAAAAAAAAAATAAGAAATCGGAAATCAACCGATTTCTTTATTTAAAATTCACAAAATTTTGCAAACCACAATAATTCGTATAATAAATAATTTTACTGCCAATCAGTATCTCTGTTACCATTTTTTTCTATTCAAGTTTTCTGATCAAACATTCGTCAGAAATTATCCAATAATAAAAATTTTGATTAAGAAGCTTCGTCAGTACTGTAAAAAAAAATTTTGATTAAGCTCCAATAGTAAAATTTTGATTAATCACCTAACAAAAGTTTTCCTTTGAACAATTTTACACAAAAAAAAAAGTAGTAGTAAGATAAACAAATTAGGTTTGCTCTATTTAAACTAACTGACTGACATTAGAGAGAAAAATTAATTACCATATTTTGCATAATAACACAATGAGCGTTATTTTAAATTTACTATTTAAACTGTTAAAGTTTAACCCTAATGTTAATAAAATAATTTTATTGCTTATTATGTGACTGAAAATTTTGTTGGAGATGCTGGGAAAGACATATATACTGTATCTATTCAAATATCATGTGGTTATTAAAGTTCGAAGTCAATTTAAACTCGACTCGAACTGACTTAAAAACCGAATAAACCAACCTCTTTAATATCTTTGTTTATTTTTCTCATTACGATCATTAATCCATTTTGCTTGGCACTACTCAATGCCTTGGCATTTTGACATTTTAGAATATTGCCAAGACAAAACGTCTAAACAAATCAATGGATCGACCAATAAGTAACTAATCAAGTGCGTTAGTTTAAGCCACTATATAACGATAACGATAAAGGAATGATTGTTTAACAAACAGATGCTACAAGGACTTAGGCCAAGAGTGCCGCCTTAAATAAATAAACAAAATAAAATAAAAACCAGATGTTACAAGGACACGGAACTATGCGATTTGTTTGTGCGATTCTTGACAAACTACTCTAAAATCATACCAATATAATTACCAAATTTCATACATTCATTTTTGTGTGAAACTGATAGCTCTCAACAAATTTATATCGATATCACAATCATGTAAATTCCACCATTGGGTGCTTCTGATGGATTGTAATAAATTCTATAATAACGATAAATACTATTTAATGAATTATGTGTCTGATAAGTACGTTTCTATAAAATTGATTTCGGAAAACTCACAATTACAGGTTTTCCCTTTGCAGCACTCATTTACTAAAAGCAAAAATCTTTGTATTCTTTGTCATCCTACATATTTGATGTTGTAATTAAACTATATAGTAAGAAAACTTATGAATTTTATGTATTAGTGCAAAGAATTTTTTTTTTTTTAAAAAAAAAAAAAAAAGTAAAATATATTACAAAAAGAATTGATAAAAAAAAAAATTGAGTGAAAATGAATCCTGATATAAATGTACATGTAAATTATCTTTATAATAAAATATTAAACGTGTCTATATAGGAAAGCCAACTAATAAAGTCTTTGTTACTGCAAATAAAATAAAAATAAATCTATGATATTTATTATGCGACACCAAACATCCAGAAAGGTGGTAAGCCTTTTCGTCTAGCTTCATCTCCTATACCAATTACCGTATTAAATTCTTTTTCGTTTGTTTGGTCATACAGAATAATTTTGTTTGTTATTTCATCAATTTTTTTAAAGTATTTAGAATAATTATATTCATCTTGAGTTGGACATGAATCTCTTTTGATGCCACTAGCATTGAATGCACTCTTTGTTATATGAGCTAAAGTTATAATAGCGCTATCATGCATTCTATTCTTATAATGTTTGAAATGTTCTATAACTGCTTTACTGATTTTTTTTTCGTCTTTTGTTTTATATTGCCATATATCTGATCCACAACGTCCATTTTGTATTATTCGTACAAGACGTAACCAATATTGTAAATTTAATGTTGTATACCGAAAAATATTCTCGTCATAATCTGATGATTTGATTTCATTAGTATCAACCAAATTCTGAACATACATCATCTCATGATTTTGAAAAATCTTTGGCGTTGATGCATCTAAAGAAATATTAAATTGTTTACCAATTCGCATCCGTACTCGATTGGCTACTCGAAGGTAAAGTCTTATATCGTCAACAAATCCAGATAATGATATCACTTGAAGATCAAACATAGTACCTCGATGATTGGATTGTTTCCCTATCTTAAGATTTTGTGGAGAGTTAATTAGTAACTCTAACCAATCAGATGCAAAATTTCGGAGACTCATATATTCTTTATGGTTAAGAACATGAGCTCGATAAAGAAGTCTGCACGCATCCAGGAAAAAACTTGGATCGGTATTAAATAAATTTTTTGAAAAAGATGTATCGACGCTTAAAAATTTTGGTATCATTCTAGGAATTTTATTTAAATAAGGAAAGCTATAACCTTCGTTATTAATAGTCACATTATCAATCATATAAGAAGGTATGTCAACGTTGTCTTGTTCTCCAATTGCATATGATGAAAGAATGAAAGTTCGAATCAAATTAGCAGCCCATCGAGAATATTGTTCATCACCAGAAAAATAATGAGCAAGAGACAAAGTTATTACATTTTCAAAGAATATATCAGGTGATACAGTTGGAAGTGTCACAGGTGATTGCATGGGAGTTTTTTTTCTAAATGAATCCTTCATAAGACCAGAAAGATCAAGGTGCGGATTTCTGGTCATGTTGACTAGCATAAAATCTTGATAAAAGTTGGACTTTATATTGGATTCTTTTTGTTTAATTTTCAAGAAATTTACACGAATATTTGCATCCACATGGACATTAGGTTCTGATTCATATAAATTAGTAGTTTCAGATAATATATTATTGGCATGTTTGATCAACGTTTTGACTACTTTAGTCACTTTAGGTACGCCTAACCAGAAATCCAGTCTTGCTTTATTAAGTAAATTTTCATCGTAAAGGAATAATCGAAAAGGATCAAAACCTTGAACTTTTCGTGCAATATGTTCGTCCAAGCCATCTATGAAATTTTGAATAGCCAATAATCGATTAAATGAACGTATAGAACCAGCTTCTTTTGTTTCTTGTGACATTTGACCTGAAAATAAACGAAAAACCCAACCAGCAGACATATATTGTACTTCCTCTACTTTATCAGGAAAACTATGTGGTTCCCATGGAACAGATAATGTGTTATTAAGCCTATATGATGGAGGAACACCTAAACGCCATAGCATTTCCAACTAAGATATATAATAATGATATTAATTATCTTATACAATATTTGTAACATAAGAAGAAAATCTGTAATTTACCTTTGATCTTCTACCGTAACGCATTTTTTCATTATATAACTTATCAGAATCATGTTTAAAGATTATTTGAGGTTCTTCTGGAGTAGTGGGACGAACATCTGATTCCTCTAACAACTGTGAATTGTTTAATAATCTTGCCATTGGTACTATAAAATATTTATATTGATCACCAAATAAATCCAAATGAGATCGAATATCAGCAAATGCATTAGGTGTCAAAAAACAATTTCCATCAAAAGGTAAAATCCAACGAGCGTCTAATTGAGATTTGCCATGAGAAAGGGCTACATTCCGACCACCATTCTACAAAAAGATGAAAAAAAAGGTAAGAAAAAAAAAAAAGTTTATAATTTATGAAGTATATAATTAATGAATTGAATTTAGTTACATTATTCATAACATATAAATTTTTATTAATATAAGTGTAATCAATAGTTCTTAATTTTGAAACTTTTGAATAACGCATGAATTCAACCGAATTGAAAAAATCAGGTATTGGAAAATCATCAAGACGAAAATCAAGTTTTGAATATTCATCTTCGTTAAAAGGAATTCTAATATAATCTTGTTTATGCAACTTTAAAAGGTTTATCAGAGCATTTTCGTAATCCGAATCAGCAATTCGATTAAGTATCCACCATTTTTTTGTATCTAAAAATTCAGATTCATGTTCTAATATAAATCTCACATTCCTCAATGTTTGTCCAGCTTTATGGCGAGGCGGGAGGTCATTACCAAGTATACGATATAACATAATCTTGTCTCTTATTATTTGATTAGGAGTAGATTGATATAAAGTAGAATTGCTTATTAAAGAATTGTTACTAAGTATAAGCCATGGATATATTAGGTAAGAGCATAAAAGTCCAATTATAGTAAGTCCTAATAATTTGAAAAGTAGTAATAATACTTTTGAATCAGTGGGTTGACGAGAAATTTTTCGGTCAAAATGAAAATTAGGATTATGTTTATTAGGAGAAATCTTTTGATTGAAATTTCCTCGAGGAAGAAATGGGGGCAAACTACGGTTCATATTCGACCTAGAAGGACAAAATGATGGTAATTTAGGTCTTTTTTCTATTTTCGCCAGGAGCCTTGCCTGACGGGTTTGCATTCTTAACCCTTTCGAAAAATTTTGGAATTATGTAGAGAAAGGATCACCAAGTTAGGTAGATCAAATAATTAATTAATGTGGTATATATATGGATTTTTGGTAAACATTTTGGATTGTGCCAATAGAGAATCTGAATTTGTCACAAATGTTCCTTAGAAGCTTAATTCGGTAAGGTGATAAATTCAAATTTTGATTCTCTTGGCACTTCTGTTTTTAGTAAATGTAACAAACAATAATTAATTTTTTAGAAAACAACTGTTACAGCGAATTTTTGATTATTGTTACTTTCTTGGTATTGCTGCCGATAAGTTCAGATATCCGTTTTAGCTAAGAAAAAAAAACAATAAATAAAATAAAATAAATAAATAAATAAAATTAATACTGTATATCAAATAAATGAGTGGCACAAAGGTAGCAAGCCTTTGGTCCTCTAAGTTTATTATTGATTATTTGACTCATCCCTGACCGGAAACTAAATTTACTTATTCATATGTCTCTGATCAAAGATTAGTACAATAACATAGTCAACAGTTTAACGCCAAGTTGAAGATCGTAATTCATTTAAAGAGATAAGAGCACGTGGATATGTATTAAATGTATGTAATTAATATAACACGTAATATACATATAATAATTAAATTAGATATCAATAAATATAGTACTATCTTATTTGTCAGATCCCTAAAGATTTACCAATTAGGAATTTGCTTAAATCATTGTGTAACTATCTGTCAATTATTAATTTGCATATCGATATCGATATCACTTTTATATTGAAATAATTTAATTACGCATATAATAAATGCAAAAAGTCGATTTTATGGGGTTTTTTTAAAAAAAAAAAATTTCTGACGACTTTGATCTAATACTTGAAATTTATAATAATTAAAGAGAAATAGAACTCGAAGGATGGAAATGATTATGAATACATTAAAAACCCGGATCTCAATGTACTGTAAACGGGCGCCAAGCAAACTATTGCACCCCAAATTCGGAATTTCTAGGAATTCGTAATATTCAAGAATATTTAATTCATAATACTGTAATACGGGTAATTGTTTTTGAACCCGAACCAATTTTATATATGGGGTGACGCCAAGAGAAAACCAGGAAGTCTAAAAATAGATTTCTATCCATAGCGAAGTTGTGGGATTTTAATCAATTCGATGATGATAACGTTCTTTAATCACGTGTTATCATAATCGAATCGATTAAAACCACTGTGGATAGAAATATATTTTTATACTTCCTGGTTTTCTCTTGGCGTCACCATATGACGTAATAACATTTTGGTCTGGATTCAAAAATAATTGCCCATATTAAGAAAGACCAATTCATAACGCTTAACTCATGCATTTTTTGAAAAATTATATAATTTAATAATACTGCAATACGTAAAATAACAATCTCTATCTATATACGCATGGATTGTAAAACGACATATGCTTAATCTATCTGCTAATCTTTTCGACCAATAATCTTAGAAAGACCAACCTGATCGCTTATGCTCGTTTGCATGCGATTGATCGGTCGCATGTGACAAATGCGATCGGTAATACGTATTTGGCTCGAAAGACTGCATCCAGAAAACGTATACCAGGTTAGTGCGCCTACGGTGGCTAGACAGCATTAACTAATGCAAGATAACAAAATACGTAACGACAACAAGTGAGTTTCAAATTTATGCTACGTAAAAATAGCGATAATAGGGGTTCAAAGTTAACGTGCGAAAATCTAATTTTGACAGAAATAGAGCGATGCATCATTTTCTGATAAATTTGAAATGATGATTTTTGTCATTGAAAGTCAACAGGACCGGTGTGCAACATATAAAAAATTTATTTTACAATACCAGATCATTCCATTAGTACATGTTATTATTATAATCCCACACCATTTTATTATAATAAAAATGGTGTTGGATTATAATCATAACATATACTAGTTGAATGATCTGGTATTATAAAATAATTTTTTTTATATGTTGCACACCGGGTGAAGGATCAGTCGTGTAATATCGACGGTTCCTGTTATTTATTTCGTTAAATGGGGATCTCCAGACGTTCTCATTTCATTTTCCGATTTTAAAATTTTGAAATACAATTAAGATTCTTCAACTCTCATTTAATTTCAAAATGCGCAACTCATTTGTTAACTTTGAAATCTCCTAATATATAGAGATAGACAAGGTAATTATTTATTACATAAAAGTTTAATCACACTATGCGACATTTATCATGTTATTATTTTTGTAAATATATATGAGTAAATTTTCACATTGTCTCGAAATAACGCTCCAGGCCTAGGTTAAAAATTTGGTCCGAATTAATCGTAATTCGGTCTAAATTAAGCTTACATCTGTTATCATTATTCCTGGGACACATTGTGAAAAATTAACCGAGTGATTATTCTGCCGATTCGATAAGTTATTGATTTCGGCATGATCAATGTAACGTTTATTACGTAGTGCTAATCGATTTGCAGTGACAATTATTAATCGATAATGACCAGATACCAATATCGATATAACTCTAGTTAAGTATTATACTTTCGAAGCATATTCAGTCGAAAAAAATTTAGGAGGGTTATAAATTCGAACAACTGCTAAACACTTAGGTGTTAGCAAGTTTTCAATCAATAGAGGGTTTCAAAGTTAACGTGCGGGAATCTAATTTTGACAGAAATAGATGATGTGTTTATTTACAAATAAGCGGTGTATCAACTTTATTTAATTTCCTGATAAATTTGAATAATGATTTTTGTCTATTTATTTCATTAAATGAGGATAAATCATTTCATATTCCGATTTTAAAATTTTTCATTTGCTAACTTTAAAACCCACTAATTTCAAAGATATGGATACGTTGAAAGACTTCCTCCACTTGTAAGAAATCACCTGAATGATCTTAAGACTTTAATAGAGAAAAGCCTAACTGATATTTGTATGAGTTACGATTAGAAATGGAACGTGAAGTAGAGATCATTTGAAGCCTTGTAGTTTCACGTGAGTTTTAATTTATTAGCACATTGATCCCAAAAGTTTCGATCATCACGTGACAAATACATCAAACACTAAAACTTAACAAAAAATACAAACAAAAAAATTTAAACTAACAAAGTAATAATGATAAGTAATAAATTAATCATTTTATTTATTTCAAATAACTCAATAAATGTAATATTTATTATAGCTAAAAGTATTATTGGAATATTTCATTGCAATAACTCAAAGTTTTTATTAATACTACTAAGTCTTTTTTAATAATTTTTGTTGCTGCGTCTTAAATTCAAATAAATAATCAGAGTTATAATATTCTAGAAATGCATTAAAAATAAATTTTATAAGACTTTCTGATGCAATTATATTTTTTTTATCAATTTTTTATAATTTTATTTTAATTCTTATTTTTTTTATTTATTGTTAGTAAAAATTTGGTTATAGTAATTAACATATATAGTATTTTAAAATAAAATGTTTTTTGATCTTATATTTTTAATGAACACTTTTTATTTTAAAGAATTGAAAAAAAAATCATGAAAATAATTTTATTAGTAAATATTATTAATTGACAATATTACATAATTTTCAAAATTTTTGATTAATAATTTTACTCAAACTATATGATGAATAGCATCACATGATTTTAGCAATAATAATATAAAGGTAAGTACTTCATATGATATTATTCATTAGATAATTTAGAACATCTTAAATAATTTAGGTAATAATACTAGATTACTTTGATTAATTAAAGTTGATTTTTTTTGGTTTAATAAAATTTATTGTTGTTTTGATCTTTTTTGGTTTGATAAATTTATTAATGTTAATCAAATTTTTTTTTTTTAATGTTAAGGTGACCTCTTTGGTCTTTTGACTTTTATTAACAACTTATTGGTAATGTAATTCTATAAACCACTACAAGAGAGAGTACAATTGGCTACACATGTAACTTTTTTATATTACTTATTCAAAGAGTCTATTTAAAGGTTCTTTACTAATTGTTATATCTAACATTTCTGCTTGAATGTTCTACTTTAAACTCTCTGAACCTGTAATTTGTATTAATTCACTGAGTCATACACAGATGTTCAAATTATTGTCTTAATTTTAGGATTAATTTTTTCTTAAAATAAACTCTTCAGAACCTTCTATACTTATTTTACAATTGATCTAGGTATCATTATAATAGAACTAGCACTTGTGATCAAAATTATATTATTTAACCACTGTGCCTTTATAGAATTTACACAGATCCCAGTATCTATTTTATAGCATAACCTTAGTACTTAGTATACTTCTGCTTTTTGTTTAGCCTTTTTATCAAACTCTTAATCCAAATAATTCATATAGGACTATAATTTTTTTTTTTTTTTTTTTTTTTAAAGAGAAGTTTATCCTCTATCTCTTTTA